ACAGAAGCAAATCATTTGGCTAAGAGCTGCAAGAATCCTTGATCGGTTGGGTCAGACTCTGGGAAGAAGTGTCGGACACTTGGACAGAAGCAGTTTGATAAGCACTGCATTAAGGTCAATACACAACTATAAACAAAACAGCATCATGTGGGCCGCTGGGTGTGGAAGCAGATTCCTAACACCAGATCAACGTTTTTCATGGAGAAAGAGAGTCCTGGGGATGGCATTCTTTGGCTAGGTAAGCCAGGCTGTGTGAACACCTAATCCTGCCAGGAAGAAGGGACATATTATAGAGGGCAGAGGGATCCTTACGATAGCGCCTCAACTTAACATTGAACTTACGACAGTGAAGTTCTTGCTTGGAAAGTGAAAAATCGTGTGCCATGTACAATAACTCAATGAATAAGGAGACCAAATCATGCATCTGGCGGGTGCTTTTCCTGGCTTTTATGGAACGTTCTACAGGTGTAGCTAAAGCTGTAAAACCACAGCTGTTCCACCCCAACAACATTTTGTTACACAGTCCCTGACATCCAGTACAACAAATAAATATTTAAGAGTTGTGGAAAGAATGGATCAATGAACTTAACTGTGTGTGATCTAGGAAAAGTTACCCGAGATCTCCACATGGAGCCTGCACTGTGGCTCAGTGGTTAAGCCACTGCCTGCATGCCGGCCTTCCATAGGAGCACCAGTCAGAGTCTCAGCTGCTCCACTTCCAATGCAGCTCCCTGGTCATGAGCCTGGGAAAGGGACTTGGGAAAGTGGAAAAAGGGGACTTGGGCCCCTGCCTCCCAGGTGGGAAACCCAGATGAAATTCTTAGCTCCTAACTGGCATTGCAAACATTCAGGGAGTGAATCAGTGAATGGAAGCTCTCCCTCTGTCTTTCCTCTCTTGCTTTGTAACTCTGCCTTTCATATAAATAAAAAAAAAAAGAATCTTAAAAATTCTCTTCACACTCATTACTGTATCTGATAAAATGGGAACAATAATAATGTACGTGATGGGAAAGATTAAATGAATTAGAGTGTTCAATATATGTTAATATTAGCTGAGATATGAAATGTGTACTTATATGAAGTAAAAACTGAAACTCCATAAAGAGACAGTAAGTTGCTCATCATCAAAAGTAGAAAATAGGTGAAATGTGCTAAAATGGTTCTTCTTGGGGTGATATTTATAAAACATGGAACTGAGTGAGGCCATCATCAGTATGGGTTGGAAGGCTGGATGAGACCTAGAAGGATGGTAGGAGGGTCTGGACAGACAGGGGCTCTAGCAAGAAGGTAGGCTGTGAAAGACTGAAATTTCAGCACCAGATTGCCAGGTACACAAATATTTAGGAATTCTAACCAATATATAGTTTTATAGCCATCTACACCAAATCAACATAGTCCCAATTTGTGATCATTAAATTATCAGAAAGACAGGATCTTTGCGTGTGCACCCACATAAGCGTAAGTGCCTCCATTTTGGAATGCGTGGAACGTGACAGGTGCAAATCACATCCTTCCCAACTATCTGAAAACATGATCTTTCGAGAATTTTGAAAATGTGGTTTTCATAATGCTATTTTACAACCCAAAGTTTTCCAGATATTCTCAAAACATAAGCAAGTCTACTAACTTATTAGTAACATAAGAGCACCTCTAGTTTATTAATGGCGTCACATCAACTGTTTGGAGCTAATTGGATGCCCAGCAAGTTCAGGTCTGAGAATGCCAACAGTGACACAGAAAGTGAGACATGTGAAAGTAGAAGGGCCGTGGTACGATGATGTTGACCTCCTGATGGTCACCGTGAAGACCATGTCCTGCTAGGAAGGAGAGACGGTTTCATGAGAATATGTGAGAGTTCTATTTCTGCAACACCTACCGGTTGCTGGCTGTGTTACACGATGCAGGTGCAGAACCAGTAAGGAACCTGTGTCCGGCCCAGTGGTCTCCTGCATGGTAGATGGGCCACATTTCTGTTCGGTACAAAAGGAATGCAAACCATGGACACAGGAGCCCTGGCTCTGCTCAGTGAAGCGGCAGGCATGAGGAGCAAAGGGTTTGTTAGTGTAACAGCTACAACCACTTGCATAACACACAACTAGAAAATCCATCTGCTGTTTTGGGAGAGGGAGACAGAAAATCTGGTTATCTTTGGTCAAGATAACGGGCAAGGGTGTCATCCTCCCGTTCTCTAGGTACTGTGAACCCATGCCAACAAACCTGCCTCCTAGATCTTTCTCACTCTTCTTTCAAGGCAAGAGAGGTGTGTAGGGACCATTTGGCAAAGCCCCCCCTCCAGCCCCTCCTTCTCATGGCCATCTGTGTGCACGGTAGACACATGGGCACACTCCCCCACACCCCTGCCACAGCCATATTCCCATACATAGAGAAATAGCTGGAAGTGTTGCCCCACGCCCTACTTCATAACTCACCCGAGAGATGGGAGAGCACCAACCTTGGGATAAAAGGATGGCTCTGGGCATGGAGTCCCAAAAGAATTTGTCCCTGCTTCTCAAGCATGAGCCAGGGCAGAGACACCGGGTCTCCTCTTGCAGAGCAGTTCTCAGCATTGCAGTAGGGATGATCTCCTAGGCGGAAATGAAATATCTCACAGGGCAACACAACTGTCCATGCGTGCATTCCACGTGTCACAAGTCATAGGAGATCTACTGATTTCTATTTTCTTTTTAAAAAAAGCTTTATTTATTTGTAAGGACTGTGTGTGTGTGAGAGAGAGAGAGACAGAGAGACAGAGAGACAGAGAGAGAATCTTCCATCCTCTGGTTCACTCCCCAAATAGCTGCAGTTACCATGCTGGTCCAAGCTGAAGCCAGGAGCCTGGAGCTCCATGGGGTCTCCCATGTGGGTGGCTCTCATATGGGTGGCTCAAACACTTGGGATACATCTGCTGCCTTCCCAGGTACATTATCAGGGTGCCAGATTGGAAGCAGAGCAAGTGGGATTTGAAGTGTTGCTCCAGTATGGGAGGCTGGCTTTGCAGGCAGTAGCTTAGCTCCTTGTGCCACAATGCCAGCTTCATCCGGCCATTTCTATGTTGCACCGACAAGTTCAAGGAAATATTGACTGCACATCTAATACATTCCACTGAGAGGTTTTCACTGGCCAGTGCAGAAATAAACATGCTGGTAAAGGCCCATTTGGCCTGGTGAAGAATCTGCCAGGTAAGCAAGCAAGGACAGGGCATGAGAGCCTCTGGGGGGGTCCCTTGAGGACTTGGTTCAGAGGGTCCACTCAAGCCTAGGCAGTCAAGCAAGGCCTTTCTGAGGATGTGATTCCTGAGCTGGGGACAAGAAACTTAGCAGAGAGAAGGGCAGGGGACTCGAATGACAGTGCTCAGGCAGGGGGACACAGTCCTAGGAGGGTTTGTCTCTGCTTACAAATCTGTCTCCTGTGAGTTTCCTATATGAAAGATTCCGGAAGGTTCTTTTCTGCTCTGCTTTCTAGTTAGTCTGGCCAATAGGGAGCTTTGGCAGATACTAGCGAGAAGATGGAAAGTGTGCAGGCTATCAGTCTCTTTCCTCTTCCTGTGACTGGCGTGGTCCGACCGTGTCCTTTGACCCAAGTGCACTACAGTCTGCTTCTGCCCTTCCTGGTTCTTCTATCACCTGCTCTACCCCTCATTGGCCCCAAAGCAAGTTCTGTCACTAGGCTGGGTTACGGAGTCAACCCTCCACCCACCCATACCACTGCATGGGGTCCATTTGTAGTCTTCTCGTTCTTATTTTTGTTTTTAAGATTTATTTATTTACTTGAAAGACAGTTACAGAGAGGTCTTCCATATGTTGGTCACTCCCCAAATGATCACAACAGCCAGGGATGGGCCAAACTGAGGTCAGGAGCCAGAAACTCCATCTGGTTCTCCCATGTGGGGGCTAAGGGGCAAAATCACTTGGGCCATCTTCCTCTGCCTTCCCAGGCACATTAGCAGGGAGCTGGATCTGAAATGGGCAGTTGGGACTTTTAAAGATTTATTTATTTATTTAAAAGTTAAGAGTTACATAGAGAGAAGAGAGGCAGAGAGAGAGAGAGAGAGGTCTTCCATCTGCTGGTTCACTCCCCAGTTGGCTGCAAAGGCCAGAGCTTTGCCAATCTGGAGCCAGGTGCTTCTTCTGGGTCTCCCACGTGGGTGCAGGGGCCTAAGCACTTGGGCCATCTTCCACTGCTTTCCCAGACCACAGCAGAGATCTGGATCGGAAGTAAAGCAGCTGGGTCTTGAACCAGCACCCATATGGGATGCCGGCACTGCAGGTGGTGACTTTACCCACTACACCACAGTGCCGGCCCCCAGCTGGGACTTGAGTCAATAGTCTGATATAGAATGCTGGCCTCACAAGTGGCAACTTAACCCGCTGCTCCACACTGCTGGCCCCGTTTATAGTCTTAATATTTTTATTTCAGTGTGGCATCTGTTTCCTATTAAGATATTAACTAATACAAATTCTGTTCAGAATAGCACTGAGCCATCTCAAAACCAACAGGGGCTCAGTTATCTGGCTCCCTTTCAATCAGGAGGGGTTGTAAAATAACATCATTCTGGCTGGCAAGATGCAACCAAGCACTGCAGAGCAGGTAGGGGGCTTCAGAAATGTCTCTTGGTAGGAGACGGTCTCAGCTGATGGCCCCTTGATTCTTCAGCCTTTCCCACTTCCGTCTTGGACAATGGACACAACCTCCACATTTTGAGCAATAGGGCTGAAGCCACAGGCTAAGGATGGAGGGCCACACGGCTAAGAAGGAGCCTGGGAGCCTTAGGACACTCAAGTGGTCATTGCACTTGGCCTTGGACTTTCAAATCCAGACACTTGTTAGCTGAAAGATTCCAGCCACATGTGCCTCTGGCTGAGGTTAGGTATCTGTCATGTGCGACCTACGCGATCCAAAGAGACACTTGTCCCTTTTCTCCTGCCAAACTGTTGGGCACCCTGCAACTTTTGGGTCTCTCTCACCTCTGGTAGTTATTCCTCCCTGTTTCCCATTTCCAGATTCCTGGGTCTGATTCTTTTTGCACTCCGCCCACCTCCACACCCTGGATATCAAGCTTCGGTAAGTCTTGCACCCAGCACTCTGAAACAGCTCCCGCAGCGCAGACTCTAGGACGACCAAGGTGCCTGGCGAGTTACTGCTGTCGAGTATCCACCGCAGTAGGAGACAGAGTTGCTCTTATTTCTCTAGTACGTTCTGCTTCGTGGCTGCAGCGTGTTCAGTCAGAAAATTTCTCCGAGACTCGGGTTGCATCCTTTTAAAAGTTTGATGTGTTGCCTTTACCCATGCTGTAGAATTGTTATGAGATTCAAAATCCAATAAAAATGTTTTTCAGCCTCAAAGAAACAACTCCACAGTCAGAATAATAAGGTCAGGATTATTATTGGAATCTCAGAGAGACAGAGCCAGGGCATCGGGAGTCAGGAGACCCAAGCGATTATGAGCTGGGAGGAGTCGGTTAACCTCCCGATACTTCAGAGTTTCCAGTAGCTACAGTGATTCTATTAACATCATCCTTCGCAGAGAGTTTTTGGATATTCACTGCCCCAAATAAGGCTGCCTCCTGGGCACATTTTTTTTTTTTTTTTTTTTTGCTCATTGTTGAGGTTTTGGCTTCAATGAGGGGGCCGCAAGTAAATTAGCTCTGAAACTTTCTCTTTATTATTGTAGGACAAAAGAATCTGGAGATTTCTTGCAAGGCAGTACAGTTGCTCCGATGGCACTGGCAAGAGGAGGCAGCTGGCAGAGAATCTGCCATTCTCTCCATTTCACTTGGTGCTCTTCTCTCTCCCCGACCAAAGTCACGGGCAATCAAGCGCGGTCTACAAAGTCCCTGGGGCCCTATGCACTATTTCCTCGAGAATTAATTCCAAAAATGAATCTGCGTCTAGCATCTCCTGCAAATAGGCAGTGGCTCTTGCAAGCTGCCCACCAGGAGGACTCGGGGGAAATCGGTGCTACACACACATGCTTATAGCACCAAAAATGGACTGACTAGCACAAAAGATGGGGTGATGCCGTGGTCTTACAGCACAGCCCCGAGAGCTGGACTTCCTGAGATGCAGTGACACTTCCAGTTACATGATCTTGGACAAGTTAATGAATTTCCTTGTGACTCATTTTTCTCTTCCAGATCATAGGAATGCGAAGTGTACCTCTTCTGTTAGATGGTTCAGGTTACCTTGCACCGTAGATAGCTTGCTACGTGTGCTAGGCACATGGCCACAGTTACAATCTTTGTGGTCAGACAACAGACTCAGGCAGGGCTCGAGTCAGGCGCTTCCAGGCACCAGACAGGTAGTAGCAGGTGACGAGGGCACTTTGAAGACGTTCAGCCCCACGCGGAGTCAGCAGCTGCCACTCTGCTCCCCTCCACTGTCGCTGAGGGTGAGGAAATGTGGGTCAAGCATTCAATGACTTAAGAAAAGGTAGCAATTGGGGTTTTTATTGAGTTTTTTGTTTTTTTTTTTTTTTAACAGTGTCAACTAAGCTGAGAACACACAGCAAACAAAACACAGCTGAGGATGAGAACAGCCTTTCAGACTCTGGTTTGTAGAATTTGCATTAGAGAAACCAATAGCAGATGGCTGTCTGAGATTCCATGATCATGTTTTGTGATTTCCAAATGCTGGGTCCCTGACGCTTGGAAAATGTTTTGAGCCAGGGCTGCACCTGGATCTTGCATGGGATAAACTTTTAGGGGGAAGAGGAAGGAAACACCTGTTGAAGGCAGCCAGCAGCTGACACTTTGACATGCTAATTTTATGTCCCTCCCATAACCACGTGACAAATGGGTGTGGGTGTTTCCAGGATAGGGGATCTGAGACCCAGGGGGAGTGAGCAAGTTGCCGAAGTCTACATAGCCACGGTTGGAAGAACAAATATTCACATTCAGCTCTGTCTGACGCCAAAGCCACTTTTTAAAATCTACCTGTCAGTTACGCAAAAGAAATGAAGGCAATGTTAGACCCTAGGGAATAAATTCCAGAGCCTCAATGGCTTACCTCAATGCTTACTTTTCGGATGCGCGCGTCTGATCGGTGGACACCTGCTTGTCAGTCCTTCGGGGACCTGATACGTCCTCTCATCCTGCTGGGCCATCATGTATGTGTGGTGTTCAAGGACAGAGTGGAAAACGAGTACACACAGCGGACCTCACTCCAGAGGTATGCGTGCGGCTTGACACTTCCAATCACAGCCGCTGTGACCACGGCCATGCAGAGCAAGGGAGGAAGCTGGGACATGTCTCTCCTCTGGTTCAGCAGGGAGAGGAAACAGATCTGGCAAGCATCTAGGAGCCTCTGCCACTGGCTGTCAATATTTCATCGGAGACGCAATCATTTTTTTTTAACCACCTGGAGCCAATGCATGCTTCCTTGGGGAATCTTTGAAATGAGATGATTGGATTCTCAGCCCATCTTGTCTAGGAGATGATGATGAACTCCTTTAAGTAGCTGTTTTCTCAGCCATGTGTTTGGCTTCCTCAGCACTAGCATGTTACAGAGGCCATTTCTCTCTGATAGTTTATAACCTTAAAAAAGTTATGATGTGGACAGTCCGTTAAGCCCCATAATCCATCATCAACAAGAGGATTATGTAGTAACTCCCACTTTTAAATTGAATTTTAGTGCCCTCCATTAACCATTCACTGGAGAGAAATGACAAATAATTTCATGGCTCAAGAGCAGCAGACAGATGAGCCTAGCAAAAGAGGGTCTGGTGTCAGTGGGAGGCGAACCGAGTGTGTAGCCTTCAAATTAAGGGCGTTTGCTTTCCAACTTTCTAATTGCATAATTTAGTATCGCCCCGGGGTCATTAGCCTGCTTTCTTAGATGAGCAGAGAGCAATTTCCCTGTACTAAGAACGTGTCGGCTTCTTGCTGCTGCTGCTGGTGGTCCCATGTTTGTTCTCCAGCAGAGATAACCTGGACCCTGGGAAGCTGAAACGCCTCCTAGATGCTTAAGGTCTGGACAAGCCTTCCCTCATTTCAGAGGGAAGTGTTTCATGGTGCCTAGCTTTTTCTTCCCTCCAGGTTTCTCTTTTTTTTTTTTTTCTCAACTCTTCGGGGGAAGAATAGCACTTTAGCCTCGCTTCATTGGAAAGATGCATAAATGCTACTGGCATTGGCCCCTACACCCAGTGTCTTATTTTTATGTGTGGAACGTCCCCCTAGGACATTGGATGCACTCAGCAGCGCTGCCTTTGTACTAAACACAGAGGGAAAAGAGGGCAGCTGACTGCCTTATGCAACCTCCATCTCAGGGCTCTGCAGGAGGACGATGAGTAGCTCTGTGGACAGTGCTGGCCATACTGTGGAGACGTCCCCTCCACGCGTGCTGTCCCTTGAACACGCACGAGACCGTGGGCAAAGAGGAAATCTGATGAAGACACAGGGGAAGCGGATGACGTCATTTGTTCAGATCGTAAGAAGCAAGTTTGTGGTTTGTAAGAAGTAAACAGGGGTCAGGGTCAAGCTTCCAGCTGCGATGCCTACATCCCATAATGGAGGACGAGTTCCAGACCCGGCTGCTCCTCTTCCAGTCCAGCGTCCTGCTAATGTGCCTGAGAGGTTAGCAGAAGGTGACTCGCCTTCAGGGGCCCTGCCAACCATGTGGGAGACCTGGACGGAGTTTCAGGCTATGGCTTCAGCCTCACCTAGCCTTTGGGAGTGTACCCAGCAGATGGAAGATCTCTCTCTATGTGTCCCCCCATCATCTGCGTTTCAAATACATAAATGAGTAAATCAATCTTAAAAAAAGAAGTAACACAACTTTAAGACCTGCTTTCTTCGTGCCTCTCAGGAGAAGCTAGACTAACAGCACCTTCACAGGGGAGGGGCTGTAACTCTGTGTGACGCCACAGCTGTCTGTGGCACGAACGTTTCACTATTGTCCAAAAAATCACCCACCCGTTCCCAACCACCCCAGATATTATCAGAGAAAGCTCAGAGCCATCTTGCTCGGCTGCTACACTCACGGCAAGAAGATAAAGCACTGTGTTAGCACAGCTCGGAGAAGCCAGGGAGCAAAGTCTTCAAGTTCCCTTCCAGCACAGCAGAGTGCAAGGTCATCTGCCCCCTCCCTCGCTCACTCTTAGGAACAATTAGCCATCAGCAGTGCTTGATCCAGCACGACATGCCTGCCTGTCCAAGCTGCTGATCAGCATGACAAAGCAAAATCTCCTCTGCAGTGACACCTTGCATAGTCGTGCCACAGAGCTCTGAGTGTCCCCCGCGGTTTCCTCTTTCACTGGTCAGGAACCGGGCTCCCGCGGGTGACAGCTGTGATGGGCGGGGAATGGAGAGAGCAGAGATCCAGCCCTTACAAATTTGGGAAGGGTGTGGCCTTCGTGCTCCTTGTGACGTCATGGGAACCAGAAATCTTATAGCTGATGTTCAAGTCAAAATGATACAGCATGCCGGAGCTTTTCATGGGCTAATGATTCCTCTGTTTCAGAGTATTATTTTCACAATCTGTAAATATCTTCCCACTTCAGTATCTTTCCACTGCCAAAATGTTTTTTTTTTTTTAATTCTATGATAAAGGACAAGATTCATTCATTTAAAGAGATGAAAGAAGTTAAATAAAAATGTAATATTTACCTCCACAATTAAGGATATTTTATCCCTGGGGAGCTCAGTCTAGTGACTACCTTTTCTCTGTGGGCTCCTATAATTTTAAAGCTCACACATACCTGGAAAATTCAGAAATAAATGGGAATGCAAGCCGAAAGCCCATTATGGAAGAATCACTATGTTCCCAAATTTGTATATCCTGAGTGTGTGAAGTTGTATTCCTTAAACAAAATTAAAAACTGCAAAATATAAATGTCGCTCCCCCTCTTCGTGGAGGAACGACACTAAACCCTGCCTAGGCTTCATATCCGAGTCACGGCACCATTATGTAGCTCCCCCTCTTCGTGGAGGAACGACACAGGACCCTGCGTTGTTCTTTCGTCTGCTCGGCCCTCCCCGGGTTTGCTGCTGGTTCTTCCCGGGTTGGCTACCGTCCCTTCCACCTCCGTGGAAGGGCGGTTCCCCCTGCCACATTCCCCACTTCCGCGGGGGAGCGGCACACCGCCGGCCGGCTCTCTCAGGGGCTGCACAGGTGTTCCCTCAGATGTTCCCCTTAGATGTTCCTGGTGCATATTGTCTCTCTCCTCCTTTATAGTCCTCTTCCACCAATCCCAACTCTGCTACCCACACGCCGAGTACGCTGCTCTCCTCCAATCAGGAGCAGGTCCTGCTGCTTATTGGTTGAACTGGAGGCAGCTGTGTAGAAGCTGTTTCTCCCTTCTCAGCGCCATATTGTGGGAGAGCAGATGCATAGAATAAGTCTTAATTCCAGTAACTTAGTCTAGTCCGAGTTGCTCCCCACAATAAAGAGGAAAATAAAATAAGATAAAGAACCAAGGCTTTTTTTAAAGATTTATTTATTTATTTGAAAGGCAGAGTTACAGAGAGGCAGAGGCAGAGAGAGAGGAAGAGAGAGAGAGAGAAAGAGAGAGAGAGAGGTCTTCCATCTACTGGTTCACTCCCCAAAATGTTTCTGACAGCTGGAGCTGCACCAATCTGAAGCCAAGAGCCAGGAGTTTCTTCCAGGTCTCCCATGTAGGTGCAGGGGCCCAAGTACTTGGGCCATTTTCCACTGCTTTCCCGGGCTATAGCAGAGAGCTGGATGGGAAGAGGAGCAGCCGGGTCTTGAACCTGTGCCCATATGGGATGCCGGCACTGCAGGTGGCAGCTTTACCCATTATGCCACAGTGCCAGCCCATAAAGAGGGTTTTTACATAGTGGATAAGATGCCCAAGTCCCATATGGGAGTACATTTGGTTGTCAACCAGCTCTGGCTCCCAACTCCAGCTACCTGCTAATGCAGTCAATGGGGGATAGTGGTACTTGCTCTAGGAATTGGAGTCCTACCATGCACATGGGAGACCTGAGTTGTGTTCCTGGCTTCTGCCTTCAGCCTAGCCCATTCCTGGCCATTGAAGGTGTTTGGAGAGTGTAATGTATCACGCATATCTACTGTGTGATAGGCAATGCCTTTCCCTTGAGAGAAGGGATGGTTTTATTCCTAAAGGATACCCAGATATATAAACAGATCACTTTGGTACACAGTGCAGCAATGATGCAGCAGCTGACAGAAGAGAATTTAAGTATCTGACGGATAATTCCCAGCCTCAATACTATTAATAGATATAAACTATTCTTTTATTTAAAAGCCAGCAAGGCTGTTAATGAGTCATCCAAGTACTAATCTGAATCTCCATTGATTCTGTTTTTCTTCCTTGGAAGAATTACGTTACCTCCGTCTTCCCGAACACTAGGCAGCTCACCCATCCTGGCTGCCACAGTCACCACACAGAGCCCCTGCCTTGCTGACTGCCACTGGTGTCATTGCGTACTCTTTCTTTCCCCTCTACTTCTCACAACGTGACTGCCTTTTATGGCTAATCCTCCCATGCTGGATTTGGGTCATCTGCTTATTGAGTTGTCAGAGCTCGCTCTGTATTCTTATCACATATATAATTTGCAAAAATTCATCTTGTCCCCCTCTCTGAGTTACACTTTCACTTTCTTGATGATGTCCTTTGAAACACAAAAGTGTAACTCTCAATGAAGACCGACTTACTTATTTTTTAAAATATTTATTTTATTTATTTGAAAGAGTTACAGAGAGAGGTAGAGACAAAGAGGTCTTCCATCTGCTGGCTCACTCCCCAGATGGCCGCAACAGCCAGAGCTGTGCTGATCTGAGGCCAGGAGCCAGGAGCTTCTTCCAGGTCTCCCACGTGGGTGCAGGGGCCCAAGCACTTGGGCCATCCTCTGTTGCTTTCCCCAGTGTGTTAGTAGGGAGCGGGATTGGAAGTGGAGCAGCCGGGATTCCAACTGGCACCCATATGGATCGCAAATGCAGTGGGCAGTGGTTTAACCTGCTGTGCCTTTAATAGCATTCATATGTTTCAGGATTATTTGGTTGTTCTGGGTCCCTTGGATATGCATCAGTTTGTCAATTTCTGCCAAAAAAGTGTTATTTGGTACTT